CCAATCCAAGTTAAATGGATTAAATGTATGAGCAAATTCTGAAAAACCTTATTTTTCATAACTGGTATTAACATAACAACTATAGTCAATGTGAGTCTCTCTGGCTGTGAAACAATTTTCATGCTGGCTGAGCTCTTACTTTAGGAACTGAAAATGCCATTTTCTTTGTCTTCAGACCTACTCAATGGAGGTTCTTAACTGGGAGGACTAAGGACTGTGTCAGAAAGGATGCATTGTGACTGTACAGACCAGTGCTGTCCAAAAGAAACATGATGTGAGCCATACTTGTCACTTAAAATTTTCTGGTAGACATATTTAAAAAGACACAAGTGAAATCAATTTTAATAACATGTTTTATGTAAGCTCATATGTCTAAAACATTAACTTTCTGATATGTAATCAATCTGAAAACTAATGTTAAAATACTTTACATTCTTTTTTCACGCCAAGTCTATGAAATTTTGTGTCTATTTTATACTTAAAGAACATCTCAATTTACACAAGTCACGTTTCAAGTGTTCAGCAGCCACATGCTATTGGCCACCATATTGGACAATAAAAGGAATATGAACATTTAGAAAGCAGAGCTGGGACCCAATCCCTCAGAAGTCTGTGATTCTTCTGGGAAAAGAATACAGATTAATTCTACTGTATATTATAAACAAAAATAAAGACCATCAACTAGTGAAAATAATGTCTACTACCTCCCATAAACTAATGAAATCTCAGGATTCACGCTAAGAATTGTATGTTATTCCTTGTTAAGTAGAAGTCACAGTTTGAATCCAAAATTGGGGTAACAGGGCCATCAGAAAGGTGTTACCCCCAATCTTTTTGCAAAGAAATTTGCAGAACAGGTATTGCTATTGACTTAACCCTGAACTTCTGCTGGTAGCAACTTAAACTGCTCTAAGAATAACATGAACATGGTACATGCTAGCAAGTGAATGTTGAAATGATTTAAAAATAAAATTCAAGCATGTTTAGGCAGTCAGACTTCTTCCCTTCTGGAACCAGAGAATTTAGATCTTACAATCTTACTGTACAGTAATGCGTTGCATCTTGATTTTCACAACTACAAGATGAGAATAATAATATCTAGTGTTTATTATAGGCATTCTTCTCAGTTTATTACATCTATTTGCTTAATCTTCATACTAATGTGTACAGAAGACACTGTATTTTATTCCCACTTGAAGGATGAAGAAACTGAGACCAAAAAGGTAGTTTATCCAAGATCACACGGTTAAGAAGAAATGAAATAGTATTCAAACTCATGTTAGTAATCATTATTTTAAAATGTCTTAAATTTATGAGGTGAACATAAAATGAATCCTCATTGCTTTAAATAGAAATTACAGTGTAAGTGCAATATTAATATTAAAAAATATCTATTAGTGAAATACCGTTGTTAAAGGAAATCTTATTTGGTTTTGCTTTTTAAATATGTGTATTTTTATATCCCTTTTTAAATGCAAATGTTAGCATAATATGTAGAGTGCTATGAATTTCACTTTTTTTTTAAACTTAATAACTTAGCCTTGAGATCTTTTCACCTGAACATTGATATAGTACTGAATAGTATTTCTTTTTTACTCCCAAATTTACTTTATTTTATTTTTTTATCATTTTATTTTATTTTTTCCTTCATGACAAGTGTACTGCTATTTAATCGCTGTTCCTTATTTCCCCGAGTCTCCTCACCCACCTCCCCTCTAGTTTGTTCTCTAGAGTTAAGAGTCTGTTTCTTCGTTTTTCTCTCTCTCTTTTTCCTTTGTTCTTTTATTTAGTTCCTTACATTTCCACATATGAGTGAGATCATACAGTATTTGTCTTCCTCTGACTGACTTATTTCATTTAGTATTATACTCTCTAGCTCTGTCCATGTTGTTTTATGTTTAAATTATATGTAGTCTGTCTCATGTTGTACCAAAATAGCTGAAATTTAAACTCATTCATTCATTTATTTCATTCAAATATCATCTATTAGTGAGACTTCCCCTGATCATTTAAAGCAAAATAAAAAAAAAAAATTTCCAGCCCTTGGCAATCTCAGTCTTCCTTAATTTTAAATTTATACATGTAATTCCTTATTATAAAGATATAAATTATAAATGTATGTATAAATTCCTTATTCTAAATTTACTTATGTGTTTGTGCTTTCTCTGCTCTTAATAATGTAAGCTCCACACAGGCTAGATTTTTTTTTTTCTGTTGTTCACTCTTGTGCCCCCAGTACCTGACAAGGATGTTGGGATCTTAGTAAATCCTCAGTAAATATTTATTAATTAAACAATTAACTTTTTATATTTATTCATTTGTTGATGCTGAAACAACATATATAGCAATTCTGTACATAGACTTTGGAACAAAATAGACTTGGATTAGAATCACAGCTGTCATTTACTATTTGTAAAATATTTAAAAAATAATAAATACATTCATCTTGTAAGGTTATTGGGAAGATTAAATAGGAAACTTCTTTCTAAAAGTAGCCTAGAGGCTGGCACAAGGATATGCTCCATGATTGTTGTTGTTGTTGTTGTTACATTTTTATTACTTATCCACTCAGTAAATAAACATGGTGCCACACACTGTGCTAGGTGCTGAAGGAGTTTGAGTTAAAGCAGACATCTCTTTTGAGATAAATCATTCCTTTTAATACATGGGTGGACTCGTAAGTAAAGGAGCCCTTTAAGGCTCCCGTACCCCACAAGCTCCAGCCCACAAACCCCATGTCCCGACCATAAAGTAAGCTGAGAGCAGAGTCAGGAGCTGGGAGCTGCAAGCAAAGGGGAAGTGTAGTGTTTCCCTGATAGGGCTGCCTTCAGGAGCTCGGGCCTCAGGCCGGTATCAGGAGGATAAGGTAAACCTACCAGTCTGACACAAGAGAGGGTCAAAATAGTACCTGTTTCAGTAGTAGCAAAAACAGTCTAGAAGAAATAATGCATGATTTCCATGATTTAAGCTCATGCAAATCTGAGTTCAAAAAGATCACCAAAATCACAAGTAGATGAGCCATCATGTTGCAGAAAAGGGAAATAAACAGGCTTAGGCTCCCAAGGATTCCACATTTTAAAATTATTAGATAAACAATACATAATACAGAAATAAAGGATAGGATTATACATTTGATGAAGAAACAAAATGACAGATTTACAAGAGAATCTAACAGAACTCTTTAAATTGAAAAGCATAATTGTTGAAATTAAAAACTCAATGGAGAGGTGAAATAGGGCATGAACAGTAGCTGCCAAGGGAACCTGTGAGGGCAGATGTGGAAACCACTAGACAGAGACCGAGGCTCGCAGAGGAGGGAATGAGAAGCCTGCCATCAGTGCTACCAGGGTCCCAGAAGAAGACAACAGAAAATATGGAGGAGAGGTGATGATTGAAGAAAGAAATGGGTTTCTGAGGAGACAAGACTCACCAAATAGGATAAATAAAAATAAAACTACCCTTAGAGAAATTATAGCGAAACTGTCAACTATCCATGCAAAGAGATCTTCTAAGCAGCCAAAGAGAAAATGCAAATCACCCACAAAGGTGTGACAATTAAAATTCTAGCAGACACCATAAAAGCAGCCAGAAACCGTGGACCGATGTCATGAATAGTTGAATGAAAACTTAGAAAAGCTGTTTACAGACTAAGTTTGAAATAACAACCATTTTAGACCGTCAAGGCTGGGAGAGTTGCCACCAGCAGATCTTTACCAAAGAAACATCTACAGAATCCACTTCAAAGTAGAGAAAAGTGATTCCAGAAGGAAGGTTTCAGATGCAGGAAGGAATGGTGAGCAGATAGATTAGAAAACATGTTGTTTATAATGAAAATTATGTCTAATTGTGAAATAAAGCATTCCAAAAGCTTTTGCATTTTGGAGAGAAGATGAAAATGGTGGATTACAATTAGACTTTGTTTACTCAAGAGATTTCTGAAAAAAATACTAATAGAATATTTTAATTTGCAAACCAGAAGCAAAAAGAAGATGAGAAAAAATAAGTGACTAGAAGTCATGTTAATATTTTTTAAAGGCAAAGAAGAGGAGGAAAAGAGGTGTAGAAAACAAGGCAAACAAAAATAATAAAATAAGGTGGAGTAAACAAGTCTAAATTTATCAATAATCACAAGGAATATAAATGTTGTCATCTTAAAAGTTAAAAACAAAGTAAATCAAAGAGAGAGAAAAAATTCCAGCTATATACTATTTCTGAAATATGCCTAAAACATGAAAACACCAAAACATTGAAGTAAAAGAATAGAAAATGATGGAACAGATAAATATTAATTTGAAGCAATATTTATTATATTAAATAACTTTTTGAATTAAAAAAGACAAAACCTGTCCAAAATCTTAACCACAATTATTTTTCATTTTTGAAAACTCTTCTTTTTGTCCCAAACATCCATATTTGGATATTACTATATTTGTGATGCACATTTAATTTCAATTCAGCTTTTTTCTTTTTAAAATTTATAGTATAATTTCCCAAATTTTTAGGTCATTTATATAATATCTATTTTGAGGGCAATAGTTAACAAATATGTCTGACCTTTTTATAATTCAATTATATTTCCTGCATGACCTTTCCAGTCGTGAATTTTATAAGCTTATTACCAACTGTGTGAAGTAAAAACTCATTTTATTTGTCCTAAATGCTTAGAATTTCAGAATCTATTTATCATCTGAATAACTCTTGATTTAGGGACTGCCCGTGTTCATTTCATGCATGCCACTCAGATTTTATAGATTTTGAACAGAAGCCTACTTGGTCTTTGCAGATTGAAGCATTGCCCAATTTTGCACGTCCCCGCCCATCATTTCATCTGACTCTTCTTGTCTCTCTGAAGAGGGCAGAAGGCTGCTTGCTTGGTTGGGGGTTGGAGTTGAGGATAAGGCACCATTGTACAAAGTCCCAAGATGGAGTACAAGACTGAAATAGAGGTGCTCAGAAATACCAACAGGAGAGGACAACAGTAACGAACGTTATTCATACAGGTCTTCCTACGCGCCGCACGCTGTTTAATCATATTCCAGATGGTAGTGCTGACTGGTGAGTCCAGGAAGACCTTAAATACCTGTCCGATTCTTCTCTTTCTCCTCCTCCCTTCTTTGTTTCCAAATAAATCAGAGACAAGTGAGTAGGTGTTCAGGCTTCTTGCCTATTTGCAGAAGCTGTAGTTTGGCCTCAATGCTTCCATTCATCTGCCTCTCTTCTGGGTCAAGAGGGTACAAAGACAGTAAGGATTATGAAACAAAGGCGTGTGAACTTGGGGGCAGGAGGCCAAAAAAGAAAAAAAGGTCCAAATAAACAAACCATGGAGGTCAATGCTAATGAGCAGAGAAGCAGCTTACAACTAAGCCTTACAACTTTCCAAGCCTTTAAGGAACTCTATAAAATTAGATTATGTTTCAATGACTGACATCACAGCAAAGCTGAATAGTAATAATACAGTAGTGCAGTACATAGAAATTACTTACATACATAATTACGGCTTTACGCAAACTGATGAACCAGAAGATCTTCTCTGTTATCTCTGACACAGACCTCGGTTTTTCTCCTGGGAGTTGGAAAAAAGTCAATGTGTCAGCAATTCATCTGTTTCTGCCTGTTGGTTCATCATGCAGAAATTAAATGAGGTGCATAATGTGAATTTAGATGTCAACATTCTGTTGAATTCTAGAAAGATGTACTAAAATGTTTAGTTTGCATTATAACAAATTTGTGTCATTCTGAGTTTGTTAAATTTGGATTATGGAAAATTGAAGATTTGCATAAATCTAAATTCTACAAAGACCCTGTGTTAATACATTCTTCACATTATTTTTCCAAAGGATAACTTTGGTCTGTTCAATCCAGCCTTTAAAATTTTTATTATATACTTTGGAAAGCAATATTTCCTTCAACCTCAAATATTCAGCTGTTAATCTTTTGAACAGGCCCTAAAATATTTAGTAGTTTTATCTGACAGTGTAATCATTTGACACGAGCATTATCATGATGTATTAAAGACCAAACAAACCAAAATAAAATAACAAGAAAAGGGGCGCTTGGGTGGCTCAGTGGGTTAAGCCTCTGCCTTCGGCTCAGGTCATGATATCAGGGTCCTGGGATCGAGCCCCACATCGAGCCCCACATCGGGCTCTCTGCTCAGTGGGGAGCCTCCTCCCCCTCGCTTCTCTCTGCGTACCTCCCTGCCTACTTGTGATTTCTGTCTGTCAAATAAATAAATAAAATCCTTAAAAACAAAAACAAAAAAACAACAAGAAAAGGTTCATGCTGCCAAACTTTTGGTTGGTCTAAGCTAGAGTCACCCACAGCCCCTCACTGGATCCCCCTGACAGATGACGCCCATCTGGGAATAGAGGCTGTTCAGGCCCAGAGCGCTGAGCTCAGCCACCGAGCTGAGCATGTCTAAGTGGGCTCTCCTGAACCCTGCCCAACTAATGGCGCCAAGAATTATAATTACTACTTAAACGAAACGAGTTTTAATATTGTGTGACACAATATTAAATATCAGCTTATGTAAAGCAACCTGTGGCATACGCTGAATATCGGTTCATTTATGTGATAGCTTACCCTGAAACTGGCTACTCTTAGACCTAATGGTCTGCTACCATCTTAGATCTCATCACTGTGGATATGAATCTAATCTAAGCCCTCATAACCCAGACTGAGGCCACGGTAACTCTTTCCCCATTTTCTTACCTCAGCCTCATTCCACTTGGACTGCTCTCCACGGTCAAGCTCATTGTCCTCTAATAAACTTTTGTCGTGTTGTACCACGACTAAACAATCTAGAAGGATGTACAAGTGCTCCTCCGTCTGGCTTTACAAACAGTCTTCCCTGGCTGCCTCCTTTCCTTCCTCTCTCCTTCTTCTTTCCTTTTGACTTCTGACTGAATTATAACATACATCTAGAAGAGTGCGTATATCAGTGGATTTTCACACAACTGACTAGCAACCCAGCAACTCCCTCCTGCTCCCTCCCAGGCTCCACCCACATGTCCTGAAGGTAACCGGAATCCCATGTTTTAAGAGCAGGAGTTAATTTAGTCAGTTTTTACTTTTATTAACCTCCTACATGTAGGACTCAGGGAAAGGATCTAACTCGGGGTGAAAGAAGATGCTTTGGGCTCCCCAGGTCTTGTAACCGATGGCGGCAAATCTAGTTTGAATCCCTACACTGATGAATCTGAATGTCCTGAGATGTCATGGGCCTTCATCAGAATTTGCCCAGGAGCTGCCAGCTGGAGGTGTCCAGGTGACAGCTAATGAGAGATCCGTGGGGAGAGATGGCAAATGGGTAGCATTTGCTGATGACAATCTAAAGCTAATATATGCATTTACCCTCCCTCCTATTTTCTCCATCTCTTGCTCCTTAATCATCTCCTCCGCTTCCTACTCAATTGCATTTCAATCAACAAAGCCACAAAAAGCAACCTGCAACCTGTGGCATTGAATCCCTAGTCCCCAACTAATACTCAGGGTCTCTTGCATGTCAAGTGGAATGCCTCCCAGGTGGGAGAGCCTTTGATGCTACATTGACCTACAGAACATTCTTCCTGTCATCCAGGAGCAAAGATGTGAAACTATTTTTTTATCCGTGATTCTTTTTAACAACAATTCAACAAATGCTATTGTTGTTGCCTTATTGTGAAGTTGAGATTTTCTTAAGCCTATCTATTGAAAATATAACATAAAAATAGTATTTTAAATATTGAAGAAAAGTCAGTGGGTATTACTCACAATACCAACCTAACTCTACAACTAGCTTAATTTTGCATCTCTTCTCTCAGTTCCTGTCCACATCAAAATTTGTACAGTTGCTATTATAGTGCTTCTGTCAGGAGACGACCTATGTATCTAAAAGGAGAGAGTTTTATGGAGTCTCTCTATAAAATAATTTGAATACAGAATCACAAAGTTCTGCCTTTCTTTTCTGATATATCCTCATTGTGTTCACTCAGGGGAGCTGTGTGGCTCCGCTATGACAATAGCAGCCGTGCCAGGACACGAGGAGCCTGGATTCTTGCTCCCACTCTGTCAGTCACTGTTTAAGTAAACATGTGGATGTCTTCATCACTTTGCTATGCCTCAGAATCTTCAGGAGTAAAGTATAGAGGCTAAGACTTATCCCTTCTACCTCACAGGATGTTTTATTAACTCAGTAAACCTATACTGAGCACCTACTGCGCACGCGCGGAGTCCCTGCTGGGGACTGTGGCAAGTAGCAGGAGACAGTGGGCAGTGGACAAGTGAACACTCTGCTTCAGAAGAGGCAACGGTCCCACTCAGGGGGGTACGTGAGTCAGGCCTCCGTCTGGGCTCCTGTTCTTGCAGTGCCGATCTCTTTCCTAGTACTAAGAGCAGGCTCCCAAGGTCTCCAGGATGGTGGCAGGGATTTGACCTCTCTGGATTCCCCCTTGTCCCTTTCTCCCAGCTGCTGAGCTTTCTCCCCAGCTTCCACCACATCTTCCTTAGCCCCCCTTCACCAAAGCCTCATTATCTGCTTTTTCCTAGGCAGGGGCTCAGGGGTGCATCAAACTGGGACCCTGATCTTGTGCAACACAAAACTTATTTTCCCTTCCTGGAAGGGAAGTGTGGGGGCCTTAGAAACCCAGGGGCCTTCCTTTAAAATATATCACCCTCCCTCAAGAATACACAGAATAAAGAATTTCTACTGAGGAGAGGAAAAAATAGTTTTAAAACATTCCATTTCAAATTCCATATCCCATTCCACTTACATGAAATCAGAAGCAGGATCTGTTGTTTCTGACTGGAGATGTCTTGTAGGATTTTGCAGAGAGTGTGCATTTGGGCCAAGCATTAAAGACAGTTGGGGGCTTAAATAGGGCACCTCAGATGAGGGAGCACTGGAGGCAGAGTTCAGAGGTGGGAGGATCCAGACTGTGTTTGGAGAGCTACAAGGATGCAGAGGCAGATGGGGGACAGAGGTGTGGGGTATCCAAGGAGAACAGCTGCCTGTGATGGCAAGGGCAGGACTATGGCACCAGCCTTCCAGAGCCAAATCTGATTCCTCTAAGAGGCCAGTAGGCATTGGCTTGTGCACATCTCCCCATGCCTCATCCCTCCAGAAGTCCCAGTGTCCCCAACATCCACCATCACGCTCTCCCTGCCCATTCTCCATAAGTGCCCTGACCTGTCCAGTCCACCTTCAGTTCCCTCCTGAAACTTCTCCATATCACAACCTCCCCTCTGAAATATGGAGGTTCTCTGAAGACACCTTCCTCATGGCCCTGAAAGACTGTCTTTTCTCCCACATTCCATGTAACCGGGATCCCAGAGGTAAGGTAGAGATCTTCCTTGCTTCCCTCTGTCACCTCCAGATCATTTTTCCCTGCAAAACACTGCCTTTTAACACTCATGTGATTGGGACGTAGTACCTTCCTCATCTCTGTCACCTCCTGGCCATACTTCTTCATTCCCTTGTTCCCAGGCTTCCTTTCCACTCCAAATTCTGTCACTCTTTGTAAATCCAGCATTCCCAGGAAATACCATTTTAATTCTCTGGCATCTCAGTTTCTTCACCTCTTGGTCTCATATGATCTTTCCTTCCCTCTATTTCAGTTACCTCCACTTATTGCTGCACCCTGGGACACCTTGCACCATCTCTGAAATCTCGGATGCCAATATCAAGTTCCCAGACTACCTATATCCTTCTAGTTCAATTATTCATGTATCCTACTAGAAAAGTCCTTTAATCTCATCATGGCTCCTACTCCATTGAGACTCCCAGGTTCTCACTATCCAACAATATCCTCCTCATGAATGCCTCCCTTGCTGCCTGGGTTCATTTTAATCCTTTTTTACAAATGCCATAAATTCACTTATCTGCCATTGCTTCATGGATGTGTTATGGGCAAGGATCCCTGGTGGCAGAATAAGGAATGAATTAAATTAGAAGGAAATTGAAGGCAAAACTGTTGGGAAGATAGAGTGATTCCACAAATACAGACCTATTTTTCGAAAAGGTAAATGGACTATATAAACATATGGTTGTATTAAGTTACATTTAGTAATTTTATTCTTCATGAAGAATTGATAATATTTGACTTGATCAAATGGTTTATCATGCTCAAATTATCATGGTTTTTGAGTAAATATCCCAGATTATCTCAATATATTTAAGCCCACAAGCTGTAAAACATTTATAGTTTGTGGTTTGGGGGCTAATCAGGCCTGAAAGTATCTTTCCACAGTAATTGGAAAAAGCCTCCTATACTCAGCTGGCTATTTTTAAACTCTAGCAACCTCTCACTCCTTCCAAATCAGATTGCTTTAAACTTGGAGAACAAGCACTCTTATTCAGGACATGTGTGTAGCAATTCTGAAGTTCTAAGGCCCATTTCCTTCAAGTATCAGGATGGAAATGGTGCCTGGAAAAAGTGATACAGTGGCAATGAGTTTGAAAACTTCAAAAACAGTCATACAGATTTTAAAGATGTATTTAAAGGTAATTAAACAAAAACTAATTCTGCCCAAAGTACCTGTGAAACGAAGGAGGTTGAGCTCCACTCTATATACCAAAAGAAATGAACAGTGGAGAAAGAAAGGTGTTGAACTGAATGGATGCCAAGAGACCTCTAGCTATAAATGGCTGTTTTATTCATTGTTGTTTCAAAATCCAAAATTCTTTTTTGTTGTTGTTGTTTAAGAATTTATTTATTTATATGACAGAGAGAAAGATCACAAGTAGGCAGAGAGATAGGCAGAGAGAGAGGGGGAAGCAGGCTCCCCGCTGAACAGAGAGCCCGATGTGGGGCTCGATCCCAGGACCCTGATATCATGACCTGAGCCGAAGGCAGAAGCTTAACCCACTGAGCCACCCAGGTGCCCCCAAAATCCAAAATTCTAAGTGAAGCCAGCGCAGTCATGTGTTTGGTTCTGTGGTGGTAGTATGTGAGCAGGTCTGGTGATGAAAGCAGTTTGCTGCTTACTGAAAAGGAGGTACATCTCAAGCACCCTGTTTCATGGGCTGGGGCATCCTCAACATAGTGGTGACCCAGAGAAATTGATGGAAAAAGGAAAAAAAAAGATGGAGCTCCTCTGAAAGCATCTGAAAAAAAATTAGTTTTAGTTTTTATTGTTATGACAGAAAGCATTATATTGATCCCTGGGTACTTCTAGGACTAGAATGGTTTATTCTAAAAGTGCGGTGGAAAAAAAGGGAAACTTAAAATAGTTCTAGTTTAAAAAAAAACAAAACTCGACGGATTACTATGAACAGATATTCACAATGTGACTAGGTAATTTTATGCCAGTATAAACAATGTATTAATGATGTGTATATATACTTGGGTCATATACTTGGGTCTCTGGGGAGGCATTTGAAAGGCAGCATGGTGGGTGGAAAGTGCCCTCACCTGGGCATCAGGAGATGGCTTGGTTCCAGCCAGATCTCCGACTCTTACCACCACTGACTTCAAATAGTCAGCTTCCTTCCTCTGACAATTCCTTCTTCTTCTTAGACTCAAATGTTGGCAGCCACCTTAGGGAAGAGGAACGATACTCAGAGACTAACCAGGACAGAGTCTCTGGGTGTAAATGTGTTAAAAGAGTGAGTAAGATGGCTGCCTCCACCTTGAGCCTCATTCTTTCTGTAGAGCAGGAGGTGACTTTATCCACTGGGGGAAGAGGCAGGGACCCATGTGACGAGAAAGTTTGGAGGAGTGTCTTGGTAAGCAGAAGGAGATCAGAAAAAGCTGGCAAAGCCACAGTAACATTTACAAGCACAGATACGTGGTGAACCCAACAAACGGCTCCTTGCAGTGGCAGAATTTCCCAATGTGTGAAGCTAGAAAATGGAAATCCTTGAGCAGTGGCTGCTGGAGAGAGAGTAGGGATCAAGGAAAGGTCCTGCAGTCAGATCTGAAGAAATATTGCAGAGTACATTCCTTTATTGAAAATTCATGGGGGCATAATAGCATATTGAAGGCTCTAAAGAAACAGGATTAACTATTTAATCCTGAATTCGCTTGACTATGGAAACTTTTTTTTTAAAGATTTATTATTTATTTGACAGAGAAAGAGAGATCACAAATAGACAGGGAGGCAGGCAGAGAGAGAGGAGGAAGCAGGCTCCCTACTGAGCAGAGAGCTTGATGTGGGGCTTGATCCCCGGACTCTGGGATCATGACCCAAGCCAAAGGCAGAGGCTTTAACCCACTGAGCCACCCAGGCGCCCCAAGACTACGGAAACTTTTAGAAATAAATGTCTGTGATGGTTACCAGAGGGGAGGTAGGTGGGGGGATGGGGGAAACAGGGGATGGGGATTAAAAAGTACATTTATCATGATGAAAAAATACAATAAAATGAAAAAAAAATAATGCTGGAGAAAATATGGTTGTTAAAATTTCACCGAATGCAGTAGATAAAACACTGCTCTAGGGTATAAAATCCAAGCTTGCTAACAAGGTCTATAACACCCTGAAGGATTGAGCTTCTGGCTCAAACTTAATGTTTAGTGCTACTAAGCCAAACCACTTGGGGTTCATCTCTGCCCACCACCCCCAAGTTGGCACACCCCAGACTGCCCAGCAAACTGCATGCCTCATGTTTTCTTTACATGAGTTTTGCTCACTGAGAACACAAATGCTCTCCCACCTTTCGACTGGCTAGTTCTTATTCACCTTTTAGGATTTGTGTAAGAATTATCCAGGAGTGGGATGCCTGGGCAGCTCAGTTAGTTAAGCATCTGCCTTCAGCTCGGGTCATGATTGGGATCCAGCCCCCTCCCTCCCCCTGCTTCCTGCTCAGCTGGTCTGCTTCTCCCTCTCCCTCTGCCCCTCCCCACCACTTGTTCTCTCTTTCTCTCTCTCTCAAATAAAGAAAGAAAATCTTTAAAAAAAAAAATGAAAAGAATTATCCAGGAGGCCATGCTTGTCAGGGATATTTTGTAACTTTAAGTGGAGTGGTATATTCAGAAAATAACTCACCTGTGCATAGCAATGTCCATTCTTTCTTTCTTTCTTTCTTTCTTAGATACTGTCTCATTCAGTCCTTGCTTCTCTTCTGCAAGGGAAACCTTATTAAAAGTTATTAGAAGACCTTATTAGAAGTGAGACCTATTAGAAGACCTTATTAGAACTGAGAAAATGAGGTTCAGCAAGCCCCAGTGACTTGCCCACCATTACCCCAACAGGAAATGGCAGAAGCAGGGCATTCCTACTTCAAAGCCAAGGTCTGCCCATAAAGTGGGTATGTGAGCCATTAGAAATAGACTCAAAGCATTTAAAGAGCTTCTTGTTAAAAAAAAATCCTTTGCTTCTCCCTTCTGTCTCTTTCTCTGTGTGTCTCTTTCTCTAACATCATTGCTGTTGGCATCACAGCATCTGCCTCTTGGATGGGCCCCCAGTGACTGAGAAGGACGGAAAGTCTAGTGGAATAAAACTCATTTGCACCCTGTGCACACGTCTCCTCTCACAGCTGCTGCTGTTCCCAATTTTCCGCTTGGCTGGGTTTTTTAAAGAGCGTTAACTGTGTTTTTCCTATTGCTAAATGCAAAACAAACAAAAAGCAGTCACGTGTGTGTACACATGCTAGTATATTTCTCTTCGAAGCAAATATTTGTAATAACAAGGAGCTGGAAAGGATGAAACTTGCCTTTAAAAAATTTTTTTTTACATTGTTTTCCGTATTTTAAAAGTAGAAAGTGATTAAAGGAAAAATTCTCCAACTACAGTTGTAAACACTGAGCCAAGGAGAAACCTGTGCTGTTGTAGGACTTTATCTTCACTAGCTGCACCGCATGCCCTTGACTCGTGTGGAGTTCACTGGGAATAGTGGGTGCAGGTGAGACTCTCCCTGGCCTGCTTAAGGCTCATTCTCCCTGCTGCTGCCCCACTCGCATCTCCAGGAGCTGCTGAACCTGGACAGTGTATAAGGAAGCAGCCTTAGGAAACTGTTTGCACCAAGATATTAGTGGTATGGTGGGTTCGCTCCTCTAAGAGTAATTAGAATTTTAAAAGAGCATCCACCCTCATGCCCAGGTGATGAGTGACCCAGAGAAATTAATCTGTAAGGGTAGAGCTTTTGGATCTATGCCACTCTGATGAGCTTCTCTTTTGGGCAAGGCAGGCCTTCCTGGCATCCTTCGAGTTGTGTCCTATGGAAACATATTTTCTTCTCCCACTGGTAAGGTCGTCCTGACTTCCAGGGCAAAAGAAGTAATGCTAAGTTAAAAAAGAGGCCCTAACACATATATGTGTGAAATGGAATAAACAACCATTTTCCATCACTGAAACAGCTACACAGACCTAATGAAAAGCATTCTATTTCAAACAATTATACTTTTAAGTATTGCTTTCTGCCCTTTACACTTTACTCTTCTTCTTCTCCTTTCAAGATAAATAGGTCTTTTTTCTCCCCTGCTATTAGAAGATTACCTCTGAAAGGCACAGACTGTGTGTAAGAAGCACATCCATTCATATCCAGCTGAGGTAGTCAATGCTGCCTGGTCTGCCTGGCCAAGGGGAACCGGATCCGTGTGCCCCCGTCTGCCGGCATCTGCCCACGGGGTATGGCCACGCGCCCACCAAGCTCAGCGCACCATACTGGCTCTGTTCTTCTCCCAGCAGAAAGGACATTCTATGTCTCCCAAGCAGGGTTTCTCTTTGCTTCCTGACAGGAACTTAGCTTGAGCGCCGCAGAGAAGGACTCGGGCGTCTGGCAGACCACACTAGTTGCTGCGGTGGCTGCTTGGCCCAGTTA